TAGTACATATATACATACATGCATGCATGCATGTATTCTCTCTCTCTCTCTCTCTCTCTCTCTCTCTCTCTCTCTCTCTCTCTCTCTCAATCTGTGTGTGTGTGTGTGTGTGTGTGTGTGTGTGTGTGTGTGTGTGTGTGTGTGTGTGTGTGTGTGTGTGTATGTGTATGTGTATGTGTATGTGTGTGTGTATGTGTGTGTGTATGTGTGTGTGTGTGTGTGTGTGTGTGTGTGTGTGTGTGTGTGTATGTGTGTGTGTGTGTGTGTGTGTGTGTGTGTGTGTGTGTGTGTGTGTGTGTGTGTGTGTGTGAGAAAATATGTGTGTGTGTGTGAAAATATGTGTGTGTGTGTGAAAATGTTTGTGTGTGTGTGAAAATGTGTATGTGTGTGTGTGTGAATGTGTGTGTGTTAGTGTGAGAATGTGTGTGTGTGTGTGTGAATGTGTGTGTGTGTCTGAATGTGTGTGTGTGCGTGAATGTATGTGTGTGTGTGTGAATGTGTGTGTGTGTCTGAATGTGTGTGTGTGTGTGTGTGTGTGTGTGTGTGTGTGTGTGTGTGTGTGTGTGTGTGTGTGTGTGTGTGTGTGTGTGTGTCTGAATGTGTGTGTGTGTGTGTGTGTGTGTGTGTGTGTGTGTGTGTGTGTGTGTGTGTGTGTGTGTGTATGTGTGTGTGTGTGTGTGTGTGTGTGTGTGTGTGTGCATGTGTGTGTGCATGTGTGTGTGCATGTGTGTGTGCATGTGTGTGTGCATGTGTGTGTGCATGTGTGTGCGTGTGTGTGCGTGTGCGTGCGTGTACGTGCGTGTGTGTGTGTGTGCTTGTGTGTGTGCTTGTGTGTGTGCTTGTGTGTGTGCTTGTGTGTGTGCTTGTGTGTGTGTGTGTGTGTGTGTGTGTGTGTGTGTGTGTGTGTGTGTGTGTGTGTGTGTGTGTGTGTGTGTGTGTGTGTGTGTGTGTGTGTGTGTGCGCGCGCGCGCCTTAGTGTGTACATACATGTGAGTGAATGTGTTTATTGTGTTTGTGCATGTGTGTAATGGCATGCCTGTGTGTGCAGTGGGCGAGGAATGCGCTCACGCGAGTATATAAATTCTAAAGAAAACTGCGCGAAGGTAAACCAGAGATTACGATCTCATAACTTAAAATGAGTCATTTAGAGTGAATGAACTTTGATAAAATTTGTAGCTTCCACATATAAACTATCATTAGAAAAAAAATCCAACTTGAAAGTAGACTGGGAAACGAAGGGAAATTTGTAAGCCAATTCAATGCGTGTTAACCTAATCAAATATATATTGTAATTAATATCAGAAAAAAAACAGGAATGGGGAAATCAGGCGCGTCACTAGCAAGGTCTATCTAATTATACTTCTATAGACTTTGGTCACTAGGGCCTACTAAGGACTTGGTGACCGAGCACTTGTGGAGCCATCGGTGTGCAACAAAATTCACACAAAATCTACACTGAACACCGTTTCACCACTTTCCTGCATCATTTGAACGAAAGCCTTGCAGTGAGCTTACCCAATGTGAGGATTGTCGGTGCCCCCGGCGATGCTGAAGCCCAGGCCCTGGTTGCCGCGCTCCAGCGTGATCTCCTCGTGCTCCCACTCGTCCTCCGCGCCATTGGTCTGGGGAAAAGACCTCGTTAGCGAAATAGGTCCAGCATGGGCTATCTGCTACATGTGCAGGATCCGAAGGGTTAATGTCAGCATGAACTAGTGCACAAGGAAATTAGAGATGTGAAATGCAAAACATATAATATATCTTATATATATACCAAGTCACATTACCCATTCACTCAATGTTATATATAAGCCCACTTTCGTACATTCTGTGTGTGTTTCCGTTGAAGAAAGTTTTTGCCATCGACAATTTCAACATCATGTTTGCGACTGCACCCGCCTTTGACGCGTACTTACCAGCCTCTCGTACAAGATATACGCAATGCTAGTATCGTTTTCATCATAACAAGTCCACGAGGTACTGGCGGGTCTCACGGGCGAGGGCTTCCGGGCCCTCCGAGGAGTGCGAGAGCGACGGGAAGTTGTCACTTCGTCGACCGGATGTACTTTCTTCCTCTCTTTGTCACGCTTGCTTCCTTGTCTGTCCTTACTCCGTTTTCTATCTTTGTTATCTCTAGAGAACATTTGGTCACTTTCTCTAACGCGTTTAGTGTCGGGATGTTCAATCACTCGCCGAAAGCTGACATACTCACGGAGGTGTCTCTCCTCGTCACTCTCTTGAGGACGGAGATGGTGATCAGAGTCTCTCCACCTGCTGTGTCTCTGTTCCTCGGATTCCTCAGGCTCATAGCTTAGCCTTCCTCTGGAATTTTTAATGTTGTTCGCAGCCAAAGGATTGTCCAGGACGGTCGGTCGCCCACTCCTCAACATTGCAGGAAGTAACCTTTTCTAACAGATTCTTTGAGTCAACCACTATCAAACTCGGTATAAATTTGGTATGTATTCTACAATACAATGCCTGAAAACCTTTCATCATTGTGAGT